GATAGATTGCGGTATAAGTTGTAAAATTTTAAATATTATAAAGTCAATATATGCATCCGTACAATCTTGTCTAAAAGTGAATACAAAATTGACTGATTTTTTCGATGTAACAATTGGCTTAAAACAAGGAGAACCATTATCACCATTGCTTTTTATTCTATTTATAAATGATATTGAACAGTGTATTGATATTTAACAAATGTCAACAAAAGATATTGAATTGTTATCTAAATACATGTTGTTATTTGCAGATGATATTGTTTTGTTTACAACAGATATAAATAGTCTACAATCTCAAGTTAACTCAATCTCGAGATATTCATGTAAGTGGGGGTCTAAAAATCAATGTTGCTAAAACTAAAGTATGTGTTTTTGAAAAGCGAAAACCTACCACACATGTTAATATTACGATTAATGATGAAACTATTGAATATGTAGATACTTTCACCTACTTGGGAGTACAATTTTCATATACAGGTGATCTTAAAGTAGCAATTAAGGCTCTGTCTGATCAAGCTTTAAAGGCATATCATAATCTTTTATCTTTATTTGATAGAGTTAAATTTTGATATAAAAACAAAATTAAAAACTTTTTGATAGTATGGTAGTACCAATATTACTGTATGGTTCAGAGATCTGGGCGCTTTTGATTGCAAAAGAAGTTGACAAATTAACATATTAAGTTTTGTAAAAGCATTTTAGGTGTTAAAAACAAACTCCGAACAACGCAGTACTCGGAGAACTTGGTAGATTCCCTTTAACATTTTTTTTTGTCAAAAAGACTTTAAAAATATGGATAAAATTTAAAAAAAGTCTATCCCGGGAATTTTTTAAGTGTAAAAAGTGACCCAAGTACAAAACCCTTTAGGGGACCCTTCTTGGCTAAAATATTCAAAAAATAATTTAACTTGGGGTTTTAAATTGTAAAAGAGTTTTTAAAAAATAAGTAATATATTTGTATTTTTCAAACAACTTTTGGAGATCAATTTGTGCAAAATTTTGGGCACGAATCTTTAAAATTTAACCCAAAAAACTCGGTTTACTATAAAATTATAAAAATATTTTTTTTTTAAAGATTATTTTAAATTGTTGTTTAATATTTAAATTTAAAGGAACAATTTTTAAAATTTTTTTGGGCTAAAGTCTCATACTTAAAATAAAAACGGGGAAGATATATAGGGTGAAAGAAATAGAGATTTTTAAAAATTTTTTTTCCAGAAAAGCTGTTTAATGGATTTCCATTTTTTTTTTAGCTGCCCCATTAATAGGTTTTAAGAATAAAATTACAAATTGCCACAACTTTTCCCCAAATCAAAATTTAAATTTTTCTAGTTTAATGAAAAATTTAAAAAAAAAAACCCATATTTTCTTTTAAAAAATTTCTTAAAGAGATTTGATAGAAAAAAAAAACAATTATAAAAAAAATTTTTTAAAAAAATCTTGATTTTCCCAATCCCGGTTTTAAAATTTTGTCGTTTAATAAAAAAAAAATCTAAAAATATTCCCATTTAGCAAAATTTTTCCTTTAAATTTGTTTTTTGCTTTTTTTTAGATTTTTTAAATTGTTTTTTTCCCTTTAATCTTTTTTTATTTTTGAAAATTCCCAAAAGGGCCCAGTTTATCTGCCGAATTGCAAATAAAATTTTGACTTGACTTTTGTTTATCAGTATGATAATTGAACAGATTCAGACATTTTATGAAAATTAATTTGTTTTTACACCACATTGAGGCTATTGATAGTAAATGGGACTTTCTTAAATTCCTGTGTAAATTGTTTAGAATCTTTTTATAATTGAGAATGGCGTTAAAAAGTTAAAAGTGACTGTTTTGGAGTTGACAGGGGTAAAATAAGGGAAGAAGCAACTTTCTGTGCCACTAACAATAAAATTAATTCACCTTTGGAGGTGAATTAATTTTCTTGTTAAATCTTTGTTAAAGCCGATGTTTTAACAAAAAGATAACGCTATTTTTTTCTGAACAACTGATTGTTTTAACAAAGATATTTAACAAAAAAAAATTAACAACACTTTTTTAATTTAACATAACTTTAACGTTAACAATGTTTGAACAACAGAATTGCTTAACAACAAAATTTAACACAGAATTTAACAATTTGTTGTTAATTTAACTATGATGTCATTGTTAAATATTTAACAAAAGTTTTGAACAACTGGGCCATTGTCTTTAAAGTTTGCTTCAATTCATTGAAAATTAGAATTGGAAATGTATTGTTTATACCTATCTATCAATCTATTATAACACTATGTACGATTATGTACTATATAAAAGTCAAAATAAAATAACGTTCTGTTCTATTATAGGTTGAGCACACAAACTCACATTAATGTTGCTGTATTGCACGATTTGATTTGTTAGATTTTGTTTTACGGTCATATTTAAAAGTTGATGTATACAGATCTGTAAGAATTATTTTCTGATTGAGTGAAAGGGGGAGTGGTGTGTTGGCTTATTTCTAATCTCCTTTTGTAGATTCCTTTTGGGATTCTAGGGGACCTTCATTACAAAAGAATTAAACTACATATCAAATGGTGGCTTCTGGTGCACGTTTCAGTGCACATTTTCAGACACATGTTTCTCCATTCTCCCCAGAAGTTTTCAAATTTTAACCTATGCATGGCTATTAGATACTATTATTTCCTTTGTATTTTTGCTTAATTAATAAGAATGATCAAGTTCTGTGCAATGTATATCGTTATGCCATTTAAAATGCTCATGCTTATGTTTTTTTGCTTTCATTATAATAAATATCTGAATAAAATTTCCATACATAAGGCCTCGTGATATTGACTAGTGAAACTCTAATATATACAGGTATCCGAGATAACATGCATAGCTACTCAAGACCGTGGTCAATATGGGCATTTAAAACTGATTTCCCTCTTACAATATAGGGGGCTACAGTACATCCACAGAGGGACTCTTGTGCTAGATAAGACTTAAAAGTTTTGTCTTCACTAACCACGATTACGTATTGAAAACAAGCAAGCAACAAACAAACAAACAAAAACAGCCAACAAACAAACTTATCAATTTTAGCGGGAGACAAATACTATAGATGTACAGGTAGAATAATCGGGGTTGAGGGCAGTCCCTGCGAAAATAGTTGTCGTTTTACTTAATACTCGTATTTAAATAGACAGAAGGTAAAAAGTAGGCTACATCACACCGTATACAGCTTAGACGGCAAGCGACATAAGCGACTATGACGATGACTTTAGCCATTTTAACGACTGTAACTTTATACGCATATACATGTACGGATACGATCAAGGAAAAATAAGACGACTTCAAACCACGAATACACTTATGAAATATTGAAAACTTCTACAGCAAATACAATCAAAAGCACGAAGTCGCTTGAATTTGGGGTCTCAGAATGTCAGAAAGGTGAAAGTTGTGGGAGATTATAAACCAATTTGTTTTTGGGTATAAAGCCACCAATGCTTTTCCAGCGTTTTAAATTGTAGTAATTGGCTATAAGAACTAATTGCAAACTGATATTCAATTCAATGTTTATTTTGACTTAAACAATTTGAAAAAAAAATGAGTTGCCTCAACTGGGATTTGACCTCGCTTCCTAAGCGAGCGCGCAAACCCCTCGGCCACGGTGAAGTTATATGTTAACGACCTGAAGAAAACCATATTATTCGAAATAAGGGTTTGTAACCCTTATTATTTCGACGCTAACTGTTGTTTAACACAGATGTAAATAATCATGGTGCTTACTATAAGCATGTATATCTATAAAGAATAAAACAATATTAGAAATCTTCGACCATTCGGGAACTATTTTGCTTGAAAATTAATGCGCCTGTCATTTGACTATCTTTACGCAGTGATCTCCCCTGAATTTTTCGGCGTTATTGTACATATAAAGGAAAGTAACCGCTTCCAAAAAGCGGACTACTTTCGGCATTTGCAATTAACAGCATCAGAGTCTGAAATTTCGCTACCATTATTTGTTTGGTCTTACGACCCAAACAAATAAAAACGACTAAAAAAACATGAACTGCTACGATTTGAGTACGGCTAAGACTAAGGTTACGACTTCAGGGACAACTACGACTTTAACTTGTACAAGTCGTTATTTACGACAAGGACGACGGATACGACTTTATCTGTATCTGACAATTATCTTTACAGCTTCGACTTAAAGGACAAGTACTTTTGAACGGAATATTTGCGTATGCATTGTCAACGTATACGAATATATTTTTCCGTTCAAAAATTTGGAATCAATCGGTAAAGCGTTTAACTTAAAAAGTATATAGCACAGTATAGCGGATAGGAAAAAACAGAATGTTTGCATTTTATTTTGAATCAATTATCACACTGTTCATATTTTTGTATTAATGATTGAGCATGAAATAGAAATAAGATTTGATAGATTTTTATTAAAGCTTGAAAAGCTAGATATCTGAAATTCTTTTGAATTTTATGTGCACTATGGGCAATATCTATTAGACGACGGATTGATCATCATAAAGTATAACAGTCCCGTATCGTCTAATATATTGGACTACAGTTAACTGTAAAGCTACTGACAAGTCTTTTTTACTTAAAACAATTTTTAAAATGTCAGCATAAGCTAATAAAATAACAAAAACTCAAAGCAACTACTTAAGTGTCGCTTTGTTAAGGTATATGTATGTATGTTTTCTGAATTATATCAGTGATAGCAAAGTATTCTAATTTGTACAAGTAATAAACTCAAATGCATCAAAAATTCTGTTACAGCATCATGCATGGAATTTATAATCAACGGAATATATATGAACTCCTAACAATTCTAAACAGATTGGGTTCAATCAAGATTTTACTCATCTTTTACTAAATATAAGTTTCCTTGCTGGTCTACAGGACGTTAGTAGTTTTGGTACCCTTCCTGGTAGTATTTTCTCCGCCTTGAACCCCCCCCCCCAAAAAAAAAAAAAAAAAAAAAAAAAAAAAAAAAAAAACCAAAACAACAAACAACAATAAACAACAACAAAACATTTTTATTACATGGTACCATTAATAATAAAATGCCACATGTAGAGTTGCTTGGTTATTTATCTATCGAATTAGTTTAATATTCATCATCGCCTTGAAACGTTAGTAAATGTCGTAAACTTAACAATTTCAGTATGATATAATGCAGAGATTGCATGTATACGTTTATAAAATATGATTGTTTAATTGTCACATGTTGTATGAAGTAAATAATGTCTTTGAAGTAGTCATGCACTTTATTTAATACAAGAAACACACAATAAAATATTATTATGAATGTAACTTTTATAGTTTTGTTTATAACTCTAACTAAAACATGTTAAATAAAGAAGTTTACAAGTTAACGACATTATGATGAGGGATCTAAAATATCAATCAACGATCTGATTAATTGGTAAATTATTATGTATGAAGAAGAACACCAATAAACGAATTTCGACGATGGTCGTCGTCGTGAATCTGAACTGCTGAAGAATATCCAGAAGTACACATTATCCAAACTTGATCGCCCGATGCCATCCTTGTAAGGGCGCTAACAGAACTGCAGCCGGCGTATTTATGTGGATTTTCATCGGCTTGTTCAAACTGTTGTGATCTTGCTATCCAGTCACCATCTTTCACAATAGCGTAGTGAATGACCAGTGCGTGTGTGTTGCAAACATGGGCGGTGAAGTGATACAGACCATTAGTTGGAGCCGTAAATATTCCACTTTTAGTATCATATCCTTGCCCTTCGTTAATGAGTACCGACTGAAGAATAAGAGTTTCGTTTTTTTGTAAACTCTTGTCGAATGGATTATAAGCACTGAAAGCTACCGTGTTGTGACCGAAAGTTTCTGAAAATAAAATAAGTTAACATATTTCTTTTTTCGGATTATGAGATTATGTTAAGATTGACTTGAAATTCCTTGTCTTCCTTGTCAATATTTATACAGAAAATAATCCGAAATTTGCGCATAGGATATGTGCAAAGTCATATATTTTGTAATGTTATTTGCTTGTACATTTAAGTATCATCTTCTTAGTACAAGAAAAAAGCTTAACAAACAAACACACAAACAAACAAACAAGCAAACAAACAAGCAAACAAACAAAAATCTTGATTTATAGTCTTTTTTGTTGCAACGATTCAGCTGCGATGCGTATAGAGATTGAAAGTAAAAACCTCGTTCTTTGAATAAGTAGTTGATCATCAAACTCGATGTTACAAACTAAATTATTACCAAAAAAAGGGATAATTTAAAAACAGACTCCAAAACAAAATGTGATAGTGTAGTGATGATTTAAGTTTGTGCATATTACCAATTTTAATAATAACATTCCTTCTTTAAATAATTTTGCAAGCAAGTATCATTATACGTATCAGTCCCTAATCCCATTTCTAAAATAAAAGTTTCAAAATTCAATAAAATTGAAATAAGATCTATTAACAAAAATAAAGAACAAACAATAAAATACCTACTTAATTGAATAAGTTGTGACTAAGTTATTTCTTATCTTTGGCTAGTTAGATGATGAATATTAAAATGAATATGATATAAATGTTTTGATTTGTATGTTTAGAGCTATATGGCAATAATTGAGCAAATATCACTTTACATACTGCTAGGCTGTTCCCCACCCACTCCGTTTCATTGACCGCATTTGTTTACCATGCTGATACGATATTCAGCAATAGCATTTCAACATAACTTTATTGTCTCATCTTTAAATTAACTTACATTAATATCCTGCCATGATTGATTGTTTATATATTCTTATATATGTCACTTTTCTTCATAATCAAATATTGTCTGAAATTAGTCCACCATTTTGTTAACTATAATTATATTGTGACGTCACATTAACCCAGTTTTTACGGGAAACCCTACTTTCATTTTGACGTCATATGTACACAAAAGAAGCATATAAATAGACCGAATTTCAATTAAAGGTTCATAACGGAAAAGATAACGGAAAAGATGACTGAAATTGATAACAGAAAGATAATAGCTATAAATCGAATAACAGTCTTAGAAATGAAAGATAAAGATATTAAGGTATTTTAAGTAATACGCGGAAAGTTCGAGCGGGGCCGAAGGCCCCGCGAGGGCTGTAGCGCTCTTAGATAACATGTATGTCGCGTAACAATTGAAATGAAATCAAATTAAAACTAAATGAAAATTTCAAAAAAATATAATTATATCCTATACCTACTGAGCTGTGAAAAAATCCTTAGTTAACTGGGCGCCGCCATTTTGAAATCCTTTGGAGCTAAATATAGATATCAGAGCGCTTTTTATGAGCGTCTACATAATTTAGACTATTGCTAGCAGACGCTAAGTAACACTTCCGGTGAGAGAATGATGTGCAAAATCAGAAAGTAAACATGCATTTCATTGATAAGAACTAGAGTAACGATTATAAATATAAAAAGTTACTTTAACATATCCTTTTTGATAAATTAGCACATTAAAATAACGTTAAAACAACATCTGTGATTAGAGATTAACAAAAATGGCGGACGGGATTTTTCAAACGCCGACGCGTGCGCAGTGGTCCCCTTTTACGTTCAGAGATTTTTCCGACTATAGGTTGAACAACACCAATTTATTTGTTAAATACCTGCAAGATAGATCTGGTTTACATGTACACTAAACATGTTATGCTCAAATCATAGTTCATAAGAACTTTCCGCGCCATAGGTAGCACCTAATTTCATATTATTTATTCTATTTATTACATGTATTTGTTTATTACATGTATTTGTTTATCATTGACTGTCAAATAAATTTATTATTTGAGTGATATAAATAAACTAAACGAATTATTTAATTTTACAAATTTGTTGTGACTATTGTTATAATCCTGACTCGGAACCGGCCTGACAATACTATATTTAAACATTTAAATTTATACCTTGAAGATTGTTAACTTTTTCTGTAATGTTCAGCATTCCTTCTTCTAGCTGTTTCATTTCTTTTCTGCGCCATTCCAAGGCAGTTAATAGATACTCCTCTGTTTTTCTCAAATCTTTCGTCAGATTCTTCACTTCGTATCTTGTTTCGATCATATATTCCATTAAACGTTTGTCATTCTGAAATTGTGAACACACTGGTTCTGCAGCAAGAGTCATAAAAAGAAGGGTCAAATGAAGGATCGACATTTTGTGAAGCTATTTAACAACGAATAGTGTTTAAAGCGTATTAAGTTCATATACTTATACTATGTTGCTCCCATAAATCACTTGAGATCATAACATAAAGGAAATAAGAAAGTTATAATCTCCGGCACGAAAACAACAATTTACGAAATACTTGATAAATTACCTAATTGGAAAAGGAATGGTGATTTTGGGGAAGAACAACCCCCAAACAAAAATAAACAACAACAGCAACAAACCATTAATAATAATAAATAAACGAATTTCGACGATGGCTGTCATCTGTAGGATAACGGTAATCAGCCGGTAATTAGTCAACAAAGACATAGGCGGATATATTAAATATAATGAGCTGTTCCCGGACACACGAGTAGGATATGCCTAATTAATGCCTAAGTTAATTGATGGGCATGTCATTACAAATAATTGCTAGTTTAATTGTTAGCTGTCCAGTAACGCATATTTGCAGTTATGAATTACATTGAATTATGAAGGTAAAAAGTTTAAGAACAGAACAGAACAGAACAGATACTTTATTAAGATTTGTACATAGTACATCATCTATAATACAATATTTTTACAAGCATAACGTCAATATAATGGTAATTGCAATCATGACATTTTCAAAATTCTTTATCTTAATTTATCTAGTAACAAGAAAATTAAATGATAAATATGTATACTACGAACTAAAAAAGCAAAGACATACGAAAAGGAGAATGAGCTATCATGATGTTTAACGCTCAACATTTAACAGTGTGTTTCTCAAAGCAAGTGCTTCTTTAACAAATTTTGATAACTGAATTAATTCATATTTATTATTTGAATTCATTAATTGTAAAAATTTATAAACTGACGGGTTTCTGGTATATTTAATTTTCAAATATTTTTTTCTTAACTCTGAATAACAACGACATATACAAACAAAATGAAATTCATCTTCAATGTCTGAGGTATTACAGCATAAACAATATCTTTCCTCTCTAACAATTCTATTTCTAGAATATCTGCCAGTTAGTATTCTCAAAGACAAAGTACTCATTCTTAATCTACAGAAATAAAATCTTAAACATCTTGGCAAGATATCCAAATAAAGTTCATACTCAAAACTACATTTAACATTTTTGTACATATACAATACAGAACTATTATCTAAAGTAGCATACCATTCCTGTTTAAAAGAATCAATAACACGACTTCTAAATTCAAATAAAAATATTTTTTTGTCAATAATATTAACATTATCAAATACATATGAAAATCCATAATCATTCAAAAGCTTCTTTACATTCGAAACCCAATTTTTATGACCATTGTTGCTATCATCTAGAGCTTGATTATATACTGTCTTAAGGATTATGTTATCAGTTTCTACAATTTTTAACCAGTATTTTATTATCCTTACAAACCTATGAATATATAAGGGATATCTTCCCAGTTCGCCATATACACTAGCATTACAAGTGTTAGGTTGAACTCTTAATAACCTTTTACAAAATTTTAAATGTATTCTTTCTAGCTCTTTAGACTTAGTATATCCCCAGATTTCACATGAATAATTTAATATCGATGAAACAAATGAGTCAAATAACTGACATAATGTTCTGGGAGAAAGGTCAAATTTTTTCAATTTACAAAGAAGAACATTCATTGCCTTTAAAGCTTTACCACTCAAATATTCCTGATTTAATGTAAAATTGCCCGTATAATTAAAAACTGTCCCAAGATAATTAAAATCATTAACTACTTCAATATTTTGGCCATTATAGTTCCACTGCTCAGTTGGTAAAATACGACCTCTTTTTCTAAATACCATTATTTTAGTTTTTGTTGTATTTACTTTAAGGCCACAGTTGTTACAATATAAATACAAAAGATCTAAAAGTTCCTGTATTTCCTCAGGGCTTTTGCCTATAATTGCCATATCATCTGCAAAAAGTAAAAGAATTAAAACAATATCATCTAATATTAAACCTGAGTCGGGATTGTTTTGAAGATACAATTCAATGTCTTCTACAAAAATTGAAAATAGTAGAGGTGACATTACCTCCCCTTGACGGAGACCAACAAGGCGTATAATATTTTAGTATTTAAGGTAAGCAAAATATTATATTCTTCAGTGTAGTTTTTGATGTTAAACAGACTCACTCACTTAGGTTTAATTACGCTAAATACGCAGTTGACATTAATTCTTATTGCTTTACGTAATTGTTTAAGAATTGTGAAATTGTTAAAGACACTGATTAAGCAATTGTTTTATTTTATAGAATAATAATTTTTATACTAAATAAATACATATATCTGACGTTTATAAACTTGATATTGTTTTTCAAGTTTTATTGAATATATATCCCAGTTTGCATTACAATACAAAAATATGAGACAAATACATTTGTATAATAATAGATAATAATAAACAGTCACGTGAACATGTGTTGACTATTTATTGTGTAAAAATAGTATATGTGAGAAAATTGGTACATTTGATATTGATTGTCCTAATATTGTGTCTGATCACTGTCTTATAACTGTTTCTTTTGTGTTCAAGAAATCTACTGATTATGTGGACAGTATATATGATTATAATTTTAATTTAAATCAGAATTATGATAGTGTTGATTATACCTATGTATGGAAAGAAAATTTGAAAGATCAGTATATTGAGTTATTATCAGCAGAAGAAAATATTGAGAATCTTGATAATTTAGAAAATAATATCTTATTAAGCTCTACAAAGGACGACATTGATAATTGTTTGCAAAATTTAGAAAACATGTTTAATAATATTGCTTCTCCTTTTATCAAAAGGGGTTCAGCCACTGGCTCTAAGTGTGTAACAAATGATGTAAATCAACCATGGTTTAATAGTGAGTGTTTTGAAAAGCAGCAAATATTTTATAAATGTTTAAACAAATATCGTGATTGTCAGAATGATTTTAATAGAGTAAACATGGTAAAAGCCAGGTCTAAGTATAAAACTGTATTACGTAAATGTAGATATAATTTTGATAAAGAAAAAACAAATAAACTGTTAACTGTAAGATATAATAATGCACTTTTGTATTGGAAAATGTTAAAAGAAGCTTCTGGTGTAAATCATTCTAATATACCGTTATCTACATTTGCCCAATATTTTAAAGCCGTAAATAGTCCAGATGTTAGATTTTTTTCACCTGACGAAGATATTTTACATTTTGTAGAGCGTTATGAAAATAATGAATTTAAAATAATGTTTAATGAATTGAATACCATCATCACTACGGAGGAGATTAGTTTAGCTTTAAAGGAGCTCAAGAATAATAGGTCAAGCGGGCCTGATTTATTGTTGAACGAATTTTTTGTACAAGGTAAAGATATTTTATTACCTGTTTTGTATTCGTTATTTAATAAAATATATGATATTGGTTATTTTCCTGTTAGGTGGTCAGAAGGTTATGTAATACCTTTACATAAAAAGGGAGCATTAATAATGTTGAGAATTATCGTGGTATTACACTTTTAAGCTGTTTAGGTAAAATTTTCACCCGTATTATTAATAATAGATTATTTAAAGTTTTGGGCAGAAAATTACAATGTTTATATAGAAGCACAAGCAGGGTTTAGATCAAAGATGAGTACAGTAGATAATATATATGTATTAAATGGATTATTGTCACACTTTTTAAATCAAGGAAAGCAACTTTATACTTTATTTGTTGATTTTAGTAAAGCATTTGACTATATTGTTAGAGATAATCTGTGGTACAAATTGATACAACTAGGTTTACGAGGAAAGATTTTTGATATTGTAAAATCCATTTATGAGTCTGTAAAATCAAGAGTTCAGCATTGTAACATGTTAAGTGAGGAATACTCATATTTACTAGGAGTAAGACAAGGAGAATGTCTATCTCCTGTCTTATTTTCTATGTTCATAAATGACCTTGAAGATGTTTTTATACATGGTAATATGACTGGCTTAGATGTAAACATGTTTAAAATATTTTTATTACTATACGCAGACGATATTGTTATATTCGCAAATTCACCTGAAGAACTTCAAAAAAGTATTGATTTATTATACAATTATTGTGAGCTGTGGAAAATGAAGGTGAATGTCTCTAAAACAAAAATTATGATTTTTAAAAAAGGGGGAACATTACCACGAAATTTAGAATTTTTATACAATGAACAGCCTATCTATCTATCTCTGAGTACTGCCAACCCCTCTCGCGAGTGTTATAGGCAGGAAATTGTGCGCGTCGGGTGTGTTAGTAAAAGGTGTGAGAGAAAGTAAAAACCTGAAAATGAACATGATCAGGACAGTGAGAGACATTGAAAACTTCTAGTCATTGTTAAAATATTTTTATTAGTAAGGGTGAAAGAAAGATTTAAAAGTAAAAACACAACAAGTCAACTAATACTGTATCTTAACCACTGCCTGTTTGTATTGATCTAGATCAGGCAGGGTGACAATGTTCCTTGGGAGCTGGTTCCAAAGTGTGATACAGTGGGGGAAGAAGGAGAACTTATGGTAGTCTGATGTAACCTGTATTTTCCTAAGAGAGAGGGGATGCATATGTCTAGTAAGCCTAGATGGAGTTTTAATGTAGGTGGGAAGGCTAATGGCTACTAGGTTATGGTAAATTTTAAAAAACATAATAAGTCTAAAGTCTAGTCTGCGATGCTCGAGAGAACGCCAGCCAAGATCTTTCTGCATGGCTGTAACTGATGACAAAGGGGAGTAATCCTGTTTTACCCAGCGTATCGCTCGTCTTTGGACTATCTCTATTTTTTGGATGTTTGATTGTGTGTAGGGGCTCCAAACAGTTGATGCGTATTCTAACTGGGGTCTTACTAGGGATTTATAAGCTAGTTGTTTTACTTTTTCATTTTTTGTATTGATATTTCGTTTTATGAATCCTAGGGTTTTGTTTGCATTTGATGTAATTCTTGTGATATGTGTGTTGTAGTTAAGGTCTGTGGACAAGTCAAGGCCAAGGTATTTTGAGCTAGGAACTGATGTTAAAGCTTGGCCATGAAGGAAGTACTTGTTGTTGATGACTTTTTTGTTTTTAGTGATGTGAAGGACTTGACATTTTGAGTCTATTCAGATTGTGAACATTTTTTG